GACACAGCCCAGGCAGAGGCCTGGACACAAGACAGAATAGGATGGGTTTGGCCCAGTAGTGATGTGTCCCTTCTCATCTTTTGCAGGAATTGCAAGCTAAGCAGCAGCAGCTTGTCTATGGCCGCCGTGGACATCCTCTACATCGACATCACAAGGAGATGGAACTCCATGACCCTGGACCAGCGGGATTCAGGTACCTGGTGACTGGCCTCCACCATGTCCCATGGGAGTTCAGTACATTTTCTATTCCTTCTCTTTCAGGGTCAAGGTGGGGGAAGGAGGAAGGTTATTCCATCAGCGTGAGGGATTGAACTGAATTTGAGTTCAGGGGCACTGTCTGCTGCAAGGCTGTGCCCACCCAAATTCTAATTCCCCCAGTAGAATCCCTTCTTTTTGCTTAAGGCTTTGGTTCCATTCATACTGGGAATACTCTGTCACCTGTTTTTTCATTCTTCCCTCTGCACACACTCGCCAAGCACATGCTGGGCCAGGCCCTGGATGGACCAGAGTGAAGAGCACTTGGTTCTCATCCTGAAAAAATTTGCTGTCGAGTGGGAGGCAGATGAGAACACAACACCAGTGCAGTGGGATGTGTGCTGTGGGAGGGAAGCACAGAGAGGCTCTCGGGCACCCAGGGGGCGCTCCTAATAAGGGACACCCACAGGAGACATCTTGGAGAGCCATGAATGCCATCAGCTGTTGCACAGGGCGGGACAGAACCCCTCCAGCAGGGGTGCTGCCTGTGAAAGGCTCTGGGAACCGCAAGTGGCTTAGGTGAGCTGGAGCGAGAAGGGAGGGGAGAAGCAGAGGATGTGGGGTTGCAGGGGCTGCTGAGGCCTTGAAGGCCACACAGATGTTTCCACTGGAGCCTCCAGGTTACATGGTGTTGAGGCTTCAGTTAGAAGGATCCACCTTTAGGTGGATGAGTTTCTGATCTTTTTCCTTATAAAGGGTGTTTTTCTACAAAGTCATAATAACCATACCTGACATTGGCACCCCTCATCACAAAGTTACAAAGTGCTTTCATGCAGACCCCTCAGTAAGTGTCCCAATGCAGAAGGTATCATCAGGCTCATTTCACAGATGAGTAAACTCAGCTCAGCTCACCTGGCAGCTCCGGTCCCTTGGCACCGGCTTCCCTCCGAAAGGGACTCACAGGGGAGGGGGCACCTGGGAGCAACTTTCTCCTGTGATTTGGTGGCGAAGACATGCAATGGGGTTGGGAGATCCAGGTTGGAACTGACTCTGCCTATTCTGGGATGTAAACTTGAAAAGCCATTTCACCTAATCCCCGTTTCTTCTCCTGTAAATGGTGCCAACGCCTGTTTTCCGCTTGCCTGAGGCCTCCTGTGTCAGGGGTGTGAAAGCCTTTGGAGCCCTTGTTGGCAGTTAATCTTGTTAGTAGGCACCCCTTGGGGAGGATCTGGGGTGCGCTGACAGCAGGTGCTCCCTGACAGATCCAGCGCACACCTGTGGTCTGCCCTAGGCCACAGCCTCCTGACTCAGGGACCAGCAGGCCCTTCCTGCAGGTCTGTGCTCAGGCTGCGTTTGCTGATTGGCCTCACAGTGGATAATGATGCTCCCAGCTGCCCATCTATTTTCGGGTGTTTCCTACGTGCCACGCCCTCTGCCAGGCCCTTTACATGTGCAGCACTGACTAGAATCCTCCTGGAGACGGGTGTGATTATCTCCATTGTACAGAGAGGGAAACTGAGGCTCAGAGACATGGCTGGTGGGTCAGGCCCTCACTCCACACTGCCACTGTCCCCTTCTTGGTTGCTTTGTCCTACTACTGGGTCCTAGAGTAAGATGACCACCAGCTCCCAGCCTTGCTTTAATTCAGAAGCAGACCTCGGGGAATAGCAACACTCGTTGAACCCACAAGGTGAGCGCTCCCTTGCGTCTCCACAGTGGGCGTCCCTTGAAGCTTCCCTGGCAACAGGAGGGTAGGCAGATTAATTATCATCTCGGGGGCCAGAGCGCTCGTGTGACAGTTGAGCAGACAGCTTTTGCTGACGCCTTCAGAAAGTAAAGTGTTTGCTCTGTGAGTTGAATGCGGGGAGTGGTGGCAGGATCCCGGGGAGGGGGCCAGCTGAGGGGGTGGGGTGGCAATGGAATTATTAAATATTGAAATTGATCAGGAGTTGCCGCAGGAAGCTATTTATCATGTTTTATTGCTTCAAACTAGCATTACCATCTGGCCCGTTGTTAATTCTGAGCAGCTTTTCCTGTTTTGTTTGCCTCTTAAATTGCTCCCTGGACATGGAATCCATGGGGGGTGCCCACAGTACAGGTATGGAGAGATTTTCTGGGGTCTACCAGCTTTCTGGGGTCTGCTGACCAAGCTAAGGAGATAAGAAAAGACTTATTTTTAGCGCATTCTGACAAGAGAATCCCGGGCTGGGACCCTCCAGGCCTTGCGCCTGCCTCAGCTGAGAATGTGGAGTAATGATGGTAATAGCTACAGTTTTGAGATCGTCTCGTAGGTGCACACATCATTAACCCTCACACCAGGACTTTGAGGGGGTGAGCGTATCCCATTTTACAGATGAGGGTCCTGAGGCTCCACAAGCAAAAGCGACTTGTCTAAGACTCAGTCAGTACATGGCCTCGGGCCCAGGACACCATCCCCAGTCCAGGGCCACGCCAAGCAGTGCTTCATCCTGTGATTGACTGAGGAGGGGTGGGGCTTGTGAGGCAGGGAGGTGAAAGGTCGACTCACAGCACACAAGACCTGTGCAGGAAGAAACTGGAGTGGGAGGTGGTGCGGAGTCCAGGTGCCTGTCTCCCCTTCCTTCACGCTGGAGCTTGTGCCCGTTTCCATCGCTCCTGAAAGGAAATGACAGGGTCTGGGGGAGAGGCAGTGCGGGCTGGGCATGAAAGCCAGGAGTGAGAGCCCATCTGTGCGGTGACCTCAGGGTCACTGCCGCCTCTGGCCAGTGCCCAGTCCTTGCCTCCTGAGAAGGCTGGTCCAACGCCCTGATTCCCAAAGAGAAGGAGCTTCTGATGCCTCCATATTCATAGGCCCATCCAGGAAGGTACTGGGTGGCAAAGGAAGGCATTGTGGTTGAGTGGTGGTTCTCCTTTGGGCGAGTCAGCAAGGAGACCAGAGGGTCCTTCCTTCCCCCCGTGGTGCTGGGCCCAGGCTTCTCAGTTAAGTGCTGGCCAGAGGGGTGGGAGCCATGTTCCAGAGCTGCTGTGGGGCTGACAAGAAAGAAGCCAGAAGAGTGGTGGAACGGGGGTTCTCATTCCCAAAGGGCACACACTCCTTCATTCACAGGCAGGGACTGGACATGTTAGCGGGTTTTGGGCCCTATGGAAATATATCAAGAGAAATTATATTTACAGACCCCACTGTCAAGAAAAAGAATAATAATAATAATAGAGACCATTTGCTGAAAATTTATTATGTGGCAGAAATAAAAAAAATACTTGTTATAAATGCTTATTATGAGATAGGGCTCTTAGTCCCATTTGGCAGATGAGAAACCTGAGGCTTAATGAGGGGAGGCTGAGATTTCAAGCAAGAGCAGCCTGCCCATTGCCTTTGCATTATTCCCAGTCTGGAGCCTCACGAGGCAGAGGACGCACAGTTGACACATAGGATCAATCAGGCAGGGCCAGAGCCACAAAGGAAAGCAGCAGAGGAGAGATGCTGTGAGGGTTAAGAGAGAGAACACGTATAAAGCACTTAGCATGATGTGTGACCCAGAAAAGGCTCTCACTATGTGTCCTGTATCCCTGAGGGCCTAGCACATGGCCCAGAGCACGCAAGAGGATCTCGCCCGGTGCGCAGTGAATGTCTGATGAGCAGATGAATGTCAAAACAAAAAATGCCCGTATCCCCAAAGCAGGGAGATGTGAGTGTGAGGACCATGGTTTAGAGTAGCAGTGATCTGCTTGACAGGGTCTCCCTTTCTTGTCCTCACTGTCCAGCCTAAAACACCAGCCAGTTTGGATAAGATCATCACCCAGTACCCACACCAGCTGTGTCCAAGTGCTCATGCCCTGTTCCCTTTCTACAAGGCAGCCCACACCTTCCTTCTGCCCTGATGAGACTTCGGTGCCCACTCAGGGGGTTAACCCAATTCCTGAACCTTTATGAACCTACCCTTGAAATGGAGAAGAAAAAGGGTGTGTAAAAAGAGTAGTGAGGGGGAAAGAACTAGTAAGAAAAAGGATGCATGTTATAAAATCTAAGGCTCAAACCATCCTTTTGAATAGGCTTGTTTTCTATTAACTTTGTTTCATTGGGCCAGGTGCACAGGATTGGATTATTCCTAATCCTTGTTCATGAGATACTTCCACCCTGGTCCATGCATAGCCTACTTTTATTTCGTTAACTTACTTGTAATAATGGCATAAGCATTCACAAACTCACCACCCAAAACAAGAGCTAAGACTTGACAGTAACCCACATATAGGTGGCTCTTCACGACGCCAGCCCATTCCCCGCTGCTCCCACTCAAGGGACCCTCCCCTGCATCCGGTGCTCATGGTCCCTCAGCAGGCTGCCTTCCTCCCTGTTAGACTGTCAGTGTTCAGGAGCTGATGGAATTCAGTAATACGCAACCTCACACTCCCCAACAGGCCCGTGTAATTGTCATTTAAAAAAATTAAAGATTTCAATTTCCAATTTTAAAATTTCTAGCAGAACACAGGAATCCAACTGAGGGCATTAGCACACCTGTGGTGTGGTAGCCTCTGGTTGCACAGCATCAAATGAAGAAATGAGTCTGTCAGTGAAGTTGAAGTTACTTCATGTAAATTGTGCTCACGAGCTGCTCCTCATCATTGAGACTCTGCTCTCAAATCTTCCGAGTGGCCTCTCACTTCTCTGTGGAGAGACGAGGACAGCATCCAGATTGGGCAATGAAAGGAGGTGTCGGCAGTGTCCTCGTGAGAAACAGACATCTCACTTGCAAAGGGGACATGTGAGCCCAGCACCTGGGCATCTAACACAGGCCCAGTGTCTCGGGCTTCTGACCCCTAACAACTGTGTCCACTTTGCAGCCAGACGTTTTGCTGTTTTAAGATATAAGCTAAAGGTCCCTCCAAATAACCAAGGGAACAAGATTACAAAGCAAGAAAAAGTAGACTGGAGAGTCCCCCGCCCTCTACCCATGGGAGCATGAGTGAGGGACACCTGTATGGGTGCACAGCACACATGAGCACATACACATATCCCTTGTT